ACGAGGAGTACAGGTAGTTTGGAATAGGAAGCCTAATCCGAACTACCTAGTCCGTGCCGCGTGTAGCTGCGGGCACGGAGACCGAACTAGCTGGCATTTAAAAATGGTGGCACCCGGCAACATGCAAATGAAGCCCAGGAAATTCAAATCCCGGGCTTCATTTGCAACTCCGGTTACCTACATTAACCACCCTAGTTCGAACTAGGGTGGTAGTGTAGACATACCCCCAGAGATCTCCTGTGCTGACCCAAGTGCACGGGGGTCTAACACTCTAGATAAAGGGAGTACTGATTGTTACGCACGCAGTCGAAAGTTTATCACCACCAACGGAGTAGAGGTCCTGTCAGGAGCGTGCCAGGATGGCCCTGACCAGACGACGCTGACACTGACAGTCCAGACCACCGAAGGTACCGAGATACGAAGACACCGAGGTACAACATATGCTATTAATGTACTTGTATGATATCTGTTTCTGGAATTATAAATATATAATCTGTGCTTATGCTGGAAGATTCTCTGTCTGAGACAGAGTAATGGCAAAGAATGTTCAGCCAGTGACTGTGCTAATTAGCAAGGCTCCAGGGACAATGAATCCCTAGGTGCCAATACACACCTGAGGAATGCGTCTGGAAATCTGGATACCTGCAAACCAGCCAGGGCACAATGCCTGCCAGCATGTGAAACAGATAGGTCACTTGACCAGGTGACCTGCTCTGGCCAGGAAGATGCCAGGAGAGGTATATAAGTGCCAAGTGGCAATCTCCATCTTGTCTGCAATTCTGCTCCTGATCTCAGATGCAGCCTTGCGAGGGACAGAGAGCTGGGAAGAATCGTAGACCCATCCTGACATAGGATGTACACCAGAGACTTTTAAGATACATGTTTATAACATCTCTGATAAGAGCCTGTATCGAGAACTTGGTTATTTGATGCATGTAATGTATTCTCCTTAACAACCTTACTCTCATGCTTTTCTTTCTTTTATTAATAAAACTTTAGATTCTAAAGGATTGGCCCAGCATGATCTTGTGGGTAAGGTCCAGAGTGTAATTTGACCCAGGATTTGTGGCTGGTTCTTTGGGACCAGAAAGCCCTGTTCAGGGTAGGTGAGATTGGATTCTATAATCCCTCATCTGTGTGTTAGGTCCAGGGCTGATTGTGGCACAGAGATAGCTGGGGTGTCTGAGGCGTTTTGCTCGGTGTGACCGGTTTGTGACCTCTTTGGGAAGGACTCTAGTCTGGGGCTGTAAAGAGCCCTTGTTCTGAGCAATTTGCCCTGAGTGGACACCCTCAGCGGAGCCCAGACCCAGCCTGGTCCGTCACCACCACGAAAGCTCATGATACTATCTATCTACATGTATTGTTAGTCTCTAAAGTGCTACAGGACCATTTGCTGTTTTTAAGGGTTTTTTTCAGTGTGTCTACACTGCAACCTTAGCTCAAAATAAGATACGCAATTTGAGCTACTCAAATTGCATAACTTATTTCAAGTCAATTTTGAAATAGCTTATTTTGTAATTTGGTGCTGTCTACACAGTACCAAATTACAAAATAAACCACTATTCCGAAATGTCCCTTAATCCTTGTGGAACGAGATTTACAGGGACGTCAGAATACAAGCCCATTATATTTCAAACTAAGGGGCTTGCTTAAAGACATGGAATAGCTATTTTGGGAAACCAGAAGTATCTCAAAATAGTACTACTGTGTAGATGTACCCTTACAAAACTAACATGGCTACTCCTCTGAGACTTTTAATCCATGATAGCTAGAGCCTTATTTGAATCCCTGCACAATGCATTTTACTCTGTAGTTGTCACCAGAAAGTGTGCTCTTGGAGAATATTGGTGAGGGCATCTCAGTGCCACAGCTCCTGGATTCTAAAATTAATTTCCCAATAATTAAAAGGACCACTGGCTCCTGATTGGCCATTTTCTCTATAGCCACTCTAGGTTACCTAGAGATCTTCTCTATGGCTTTTTTCTGGGGAGGGCAAGGCAACAAGCCTCCAACAGGGAGGCATCAGGTCTTGGTCCACCCCTTCATAGAACCATAGAGATCAGTGTATCATATAAGCAAATCTTTGTAAAACGGAGACAATTTAATATTAACGTTTCATTGAAAGGAATGAGAGAGTCAGGAAGGCCCACACCAGGGAGCCAAAGAACACAGTTGTAGTAACTGTCCCTGGAGCCTTCAGAGTGTACCCTCCATGAGGCTGGCTGGCTGAAGATCTGTCTCCAGGACAAAAAAAGCCACTCTCTGAGTGGGGAACAGACCAAGAAGGATTCTAACAGAGGACACCGAGGTGGTTCAGGCAGTTCACACAGGAGGGTGTCTTGGCCGGAGGGCTGAGTAGCCGAAAAGGCTGATAAACTCAGGGAATGCAGGCACATGCATTTGGCCAGATGGGGGCGCTCATAGTAGGTGAGCACCAATTAATTACAGGATCATATCAAATCAGCTTCCCTCTTTCTATATGATGTCGGTTTAAGCTCCAAAGTTAGGTTCCGTTAGTAGAAAAAATGCTTAAAACCTAGTATGAATGGAACTATACAGTTAAAAAAGAACACGGCAGGGCTTTGCTAGGGCAGCGGAAGTGCAGAGTGAAAGCGAAAGGGCTTTCGGCTCTTCACGAAGCTGCAGACAATAGCATCTCCAGCCAAGAGCGAGAGGAAGATCCGCGAGCAGCAAAACCGGGGGTGGGCGTCAGGGGGAAGAGCTGACCGGGCACGGGGCAGTCTGCGGGATAGATCTAAGGTAAGTGGAAGCGATGCAGACTGGGGGAGGCTGCTGCTGCTAACATGCTTGTGACTCCCAATGGTTCCCAACAACCGCCCCTCGCCTATCTGTCCAGGCTCCTTCACCCGCCTACTTTTGCTTTCCCCACCCCATTAGCCTATATGCTCCTCCAGACAAGCCCCAAATATCTTCATTCGTTTAACTCGTGTCAGCACCCTAGTCCGCACCGATTACTCAGTCCCCTGCTTTCTCCAACTAGGATCCAGACTGGAGAAAATTGTGTCTGCTGCTGGTGAATATGTATTCTCTCTGCCAGGACTGGCACAGAATGTCATGTATGCATGACAGAAACCACAATGGTCGCAAAAACTGTGCTGGCTTTAGGAAGGGTGGGGCCCAATTTGTACCGTTTTGGTGGGGGCCCCCGCCACCCTCACCCAGGATTTTTTTTGAGCAAAAAAAACCAACCACACAACCACACACAAATATCACATCTTGATCTGTTCAAAATGTATAATCTATATAATTGAACATTTTCAACAAAAAATGCCATCCTTTATTATGCAAAATTTTACACAAAATTAAATCAGTTGCCTTAAGTGTAGGTCAAATATTTTCAGTTGCAAACTATCCAATTTTTTCAATAAAAAATGAAGTAGAAGTAAGAGATTCTCTGGAAAAGGGCTTTATTCCGGAGGATCGGGCCAGTCTAGATGCTTTTTTCCGGCTTTTCCCCAAGCCGGAAAAAAGCGGCGGACATGTTTATTTAAATCCCGCGGGGGATATTTAAATCCCCCGCGGATTTCCCTATTCTGACTTACCTGCTTTGCATCCCTTTTCCGTTTTTAGGGGCCAGTGTAGACACAGCCCAAATGTTTTGAAACTCATGGTAAAACAATGGAAGAATTCTTGTGAGCCCATGCTTTGCCTACAGTATAAATAAAAAAAACAACAACAATATCTTCTCCACTAAACATCCTAATGAGATACTGCAAATGGTGAACTGAATTAAACAGCTCCTGATATGAACAGGTATCAACCTAGTTTTTCATATTTGAGATGGGTTACCAGGAATCATACATGACAATAGGAAATCTTTCCACTCTCAAGTCAGCATATTCACAAAGCACCTATAATTTTAATCCATGCATTTATTGGATAGTGAAAGAGAAAGGAGGGGAATTAGTGTAGATAACTGTTCAAATTAAAAAAAAACCTGAAGGAATTAGGACTGGGCTCCTACATCTCACATTCAGAACTGACTAGGACACTTATGACCAGATTTTCAAAGGTGTGTAAAGATCAGATGGATATCTTTGAAGATCTGAGTTGGCAACTGTCTCTTTAGGAGCTTAATTACCTTTGAAAATCTGAGCTTAGATTTCCAAGTCCAATTTTCAAAAATGACTTTAGTCACTCAAGTGCTTTTGAAAATTTTAACTGGGGGCCCAAAGAGACAAAAATAGACAAAAGGCAGGAGATCCAGTATTCCTTTTAAAAACGTGTGACATCTATTTTTAACTAAATTTTATATTATTTTTCTCCCAAGGGCAACTGACTCCTCCGGCCCCCTCACTACACCACTGCCCCACTTCCTGCAGATCTATCATCTTATGCATGTGCAAAATCTGTGAGCGCCGTCCCATGAATCTGCAGTTAGTGTCTGTGGCGCCATTTGGATGTAAATGAAGCGGCTAATCTACATAGCTCCGTCAATGGAGCCATGTAGTCCAGACACACCCTGAGAGTGAGGCTATGTCTACACTACAAAGAAAAATCGGAAAAAGATATGCAAATTGCAAACTGCAATTTGCATATCTTTTTCCACTTTTCTTCCGAAAGAAGCTTTTCTGAAATTTGGTGCGTCTACACAGCACCAAATTTTGAAAAAAACTCCTCTTTCAGCACATCCCTTATACCTCATAAAATGAGGTTTATCCAACCCCCATCAGAACTACTGTGCTTTTCTAACTTAGGAAAAGAATAAATAGAAGGATTGGAAATTAACCCACCCAGTCTCACGTCCCCTAGGCAAGGAATGAGCCATCTACATTAAGCCCCAGCTGGAGTATTATGTCCAGTTCTGGACATCACATTTCAGGAAATGTGGAGAAACTGGAGAAAGTCCAGAGAAGATCAACACAAATGATGAAAGGTCTAGAGAACATGAGCTATGAGGCAAGACTGAAGAAATTGGCCTTGTTTACCTTGGAAAAGAGAAGACCGAAAAGAGACATGAGAGCAGCTTTCAAGTATCTTAGGGTATGTCTACACTACAAAGTTAGTTCGAACGGACGTTAGTTCGAACTAACTTTGATAGGCGCTACACTAGCGCTCCGTTAGTTCGAACTTAATTCGAACTAACGGAGCGCTTAGTTCGAACTAGGTAAACCTCATTTTACGAGGATTAAGCCTAGTTCGAACTAGCTAGTTCGAATTAAGGGCTGTGTAGACCCTTAATTCGAACTAGTGGGAAGCTAAGGCTTCCCAGGTTTCCCTGGTGGCCACTCTGGCCAACACCAGGGAAACTCTATTGCCCCCCTCCCGGCCCCGGAGCCCTTAAAGGGCCACGGGCTGGCTACTCAGTTTGTGCCAGTTGCAAGGCTGCCAGCACCCATGCCAGCAGACCCTGCGCCTTCCACACTATGAGCCAGCCACCCGAGGACACCCAGCGCTCCACTGCTCCCCAGGACCAGCCTGGCGGCTCCCAGGAGCCTGCCCGGGGGCGCAAAAGGCGGGCGCCCGCTTGGTCAAGTGCGGAGATCGTGGACCTCATTGAGGTTTGGGGGGAAGCCTCCAATGTCCACGATCTCCGCGCTAGCCACAGGAACGCGGCAGTCTACGGCCGCATGGCTGCCACCCCGGGCGCCCAGGGCCCCCCACCGCG